TAATAAACATATTCACTTTTTAGATCTCATGATTTCCCATGTGATAACGGCAGACTGAACCACCATCTTCCGATCAGAAAAAATACTCTCCTCAGAACATACAGTAATTGCTCAAGAAACCTTATTAAAAACATCCCTGTAGGACAATTTCTCAGGCTACTCCGGAACTCTAGTGATGATTTCCACTCAAAAGCCACTGAACCAAAGGAACGCTTCACAGACAGGGGAGACACTATTAGATGTATAGATTTAGCCTATGAGAGACCAGTGAGCACAGACAGTGATACTTTATTGGACTTCCAGAAGGGTTTGCTTTTCAACTGTTTACAATCAATAATAATAAAAAATAATAATAATAAAAAAGTCCTAGAAAGTGATCCTATGTGAGGGATATCTTTAAATCATCATCCATTAATTTTTTTCAAACCTCCGTTGTCCGCTTAGATACCATCTCTCCCTGCTGACTTTTATCGCTGTGGTTACTGCTTTAACTCCACTGATGCAAACCACCGAAATTAAACATGCACTATTTGTGCGCCCACACATGGAGAAGAAATTAAAAAAATGAAAAATTAAAGAGTTATCTATACACTGAAATGTTCCTGCTGTCTGTTGTATGTTGGCAAAACTAAACAAGCTGTGCTGCATTCAAAGTTAAGTTATACATTTAAATAAGTTAAAAAGGGAGCTTAATACGTTAGAACATAAAATACATTTAATTCATTTGCATTGGTTCATATTGTGTGCTGCCCAACAACTGAATATATATTGGACCATTGAGTGTTAACTGGCTGTCTAGCTATGCACAAGGGTACATGCTGCAAGGGGAGAACACAAGCTCTAAAACTGAGGATTGCAGAGTCTGCTATTCATACTAAGAATATTTAGTAGCGATGGCACGTCATTATGTGAATGAAAACCATGAATCTCTACTCTGAAATTCTGGGGTATCGAAAAGATTTCCTTATCCCCTAGGGAAGGGGACATTGTAAACAAACTGTTTGGCTGAGAAAGCTAACGGATTTAAACACTGAACACAACTGAACCATATGGATTAAAATAGGAAATTAATTCATCTTGTTTTCTGTGAATATTCTAAGAAATGAATCCATTGTGTGTTTTATTTTTATATAATCTGTGATAATATGGCATTGGCTAACTAGACGTAAGCAACGCCCGGAACCTGTTGATCCTCTAAGCTATAACTGACTAACTGGTTTAACGTCTACACCACTACTGCCTCTTCTTACGTTGTTACATCTTATTTAAAGCTCTTACTATAACCGTGTGCTCCTCATCTTTCCAGATCCTGCCTCAGTTGTCCTATCTGCTAAAGCACCGGTTTGAGTTTTAAGGTGACTGATGCTCTTTCACCTAATACGCGTGACATATCAGCGATATTCCATTACCTACAAATCAATTTCACTGATATGCACTTCCAATCTAACATCTGACATTCCTGCCCGAAGTTATTTGCTTCATTATGTGTGACGATTTGAGGGCTGTAATAATTAACACTGACATTTGCTTGCAGTGATACGACTCAATGCAAAGTGAAGGTCAACATTTCCGTGTTCCTTTCATCACACACCTGCAACTTAAGCTAGCCTGTTTACTGCCAGTTTACAGCTTTCTTAGGTTCTTTGCTGAATTACCGTGTCAGTTGTCATGTTTGGCAGGGATTTCATTGGTTGTGCATACAAAATGAATGTTTCATTTTTATACACAATGGTCTGGACCTGCAAGTGGCTCACCCTACTTTTTCAAAAGGTTTTATTTTGAGCAAGATTCTGGACTACTGTAGAAACATAGTGGATCAACGGCGGCCTCCATAGATGAGGTCGCGCTGTAGATAAAAACGGCTCAATCTAATGTAACGAAAACACAAGTATTCTTATTTTTAGGTGATTATACACTAATGAAAACATACCTATGTATATTATATTTAATTTCTGCCAGTAGATCCT